CAAACCCAGCCCTCCTTACAGTCCACCTCAAAACCTCTAGGGATTCCCCAGGCTGGCACTGGCAGCCCTTGTCAGGCCAGGCCCCAAGACTCCCTCCCACCCTCCCTCAGAGGCCAAAAGAGGCCAGGAAAGGGCCCTTCCCCCACCCTTTTACAGAGCCAGTTGGAAGCCTTTCCCCCCGCCCCGAACATTCTAATCTCTCTCTCATCATTGATGCCTGGAGTTAGATCCCTGCAGAGCATTTCAAAAGGTATTGGGGGGAATTCAACCCTCCCTGAAGGGATTTTTTTTACTTCTTGGATTTTTCTTCAGACACAGGAAGTATACTGACTATGTAGGAAAAGTTGTTGGGAGAGAGTGAGCTTCCTGTTGGTGGAAATAAGTATCCGCACAACCCGCCCCCTTTTGGAATTAGATATATAGATAACAAGTAGGGCTGGCATTTTATCAGATTATACAGAGCAGAGGAAATGAGAACAAATGAAAGGGAAATCACTGGACATCTGGGAAGAGTTTAAGCTAGAACCCTCTCACTGATGCATTTGATTTCTACATGAAGAATGCTTTTGACTTGGGAACATTTGCTCATGTGATTCTCCACTTGTATTTTGAAGTGGTAGAGAGTTGAGGATGTAACACGTGTTTTTTTCTGAAGGTGTAAATCAGACCAGCACTAAAACATGGCAGTGTAGATCAAAATATTAAAACATGCCAACACTAAAATATTTTAGACATTACAAGAGCATTTAAAACAAAGTATATGTAAAATAATTAAACAATTTCAGTAATTACATGTAAATGTATAACAACACAACCATGGAGGAAGACCATTAACAGTTAGTGGGATAATGGCAAACAGAACAAAAAAGTATTCACAAGCTGTTGGAAGACAATAATAGAGGGAGACAGATGAATCTCCCTGGGGAGAGAGTTCCATCTTTTTGGTGCCATAACCAAGAAGGCACTTTCTTGGGTTGCCATCTGTCTAGCTTCAGATACCCAGGGCACATGAAGCAGTGCCTCCAAAGAAGATAGATAGGTTCATATAAGAGAAGTTGGTCCTTCAGGTATGCTGGCCCCAAGCTGTATAGGGCTTTAAAGGTCAATATCAGCATCTTGAATTGTGCCCTGAAGCAGAGAGTGTTGATGGGAAAAGACTGGAGTAATATGGTTCCTACAACCTGCTCCAGTTAGCATTCTGACTGCAGCATTCTGTAGCAGCTGCAGCTTCCAGATAGTCTTCAAAGGTAACCCCACACAGAGAGCATTGTAGTAATCTGGTCTAGAAGTTACCAGGACATGCACCTCAATGGCAAGATCTTTCCTATCACGAAGGGCTGCAGCTGGTTATGGTTGAGGAAAGCTTTGCACTAATAAATTGTTTGTTCACTGCTCACTGTCTTGACCATAGCACTATAGTAGATGATCTGACATCATGGAGATGCTGATACAGACGTCGTGATCTCTCTGATGTGTAAATTGTGTTCCTGAGGTCAAAGTGAACTTAAAGATTTCAGCTCATGGAGACAGCAGCTTACACACGCACTTTGTTGAACTGTACTTTTCCATCTTCTTCACATTAGTTTGTACTGGATAGAGTTTGCAAATATATTTTAAATTGATTTCATTCTGAAGAAGAGATAAAAGCAGTGGTCTGGTTAAGTCCTAGTTTTTGATACAGTGTATACAGATGACCTAGGGTGATGATAAAATTCAAGCATAGGAACTATATTCTGTGGGGGTGATTGAAGCTATTCTGAAGTGCAGGTTGACTTCAATTAACGCTCCAAAATAGATTTAGAAATTTCAGTTTAGTGAGTTGCTAAATAGGACTCACTGCATCTGTTTCCTTCAGGTTATCTATGGCCCCTGCCACACGGCAGGGAAAACCAGGATCCGTAGGATCCCGCCGGGGCGTTTCTTTTAAAAGCCGCGCCAAAAAAGAAACGCCCCGGCGGGATCCTACGGATCCTGGTTTTCCCTGCCGTGTGGGGTTTGGAGGCGGGAGCGCGACGCCAGGCAGATGTTGCTGTGGGATCGCGCCCGTCTGATGCGCCTCCAATCCGGCCCGCTCCCGGCTCAAACTGCCTCGTATGAATGGGGCCTTATAAAGGATAAAACAGCTCAAAACTTTTTTTCATCCAGCAGTTTTTAAAAACAATTTCTCCTGAGATCCACAAGTATTTGTTAAGAAGAAGAAAGTAATCACAGAAACTGACAGAGCTAAAAATCTGTGTGCACTTTTTTACAGCTCTAGGAACATCTTGATCAAACAAGTAGCATATGTTCACTTCATTGACACCAAACGGAAAAGGTTTGATGATCTCTGGTGTCCATTACTATTTTTAATGTCATAAGCAGAATAGTTTCCCTTAAGCATAATCCTATTTTATCATT